ACTCCTGTCCAAAAATGGGCTCAATCGGATAAATGGTGAATTAGTTATGAATTTTTGAAGTTTCGCCTCAAACAAACTTATTTTGGGCTCCAGTGTCAACTCAAACACGTTCTTCAATAAAAAACTGGTATTGATAGGAGCATAACCCGGTCTTGACTTTGGAAAAAAGTTGTAGATATCTGAGTCAGTGACCTTGTGTAAATATATGAGCCCGATCTGATAAAAATTGACTGAGTTATGAATTTTTGAAGTTTCGACCCAGATGAAATAATATTCAATATTCAGGATTTTCGGCGCGTCACGTGCACTCTGAGCCAAAAACGAAGGCCTTTTATATACCATTCGAACTCGATACCTCCTGTGAAAACATAGCCAACTCAATTTGTGAAATTTTGGCACCGGAACCAGCTCGATACGATGAAAATCGACCAAGTTATAATTTTCTGAATATGACGCAAATAAACTTCTGTCACAAATGTTTGTACGAAAATACTTGATAAATCCGCATTTTTGAAGACCTTATGGTCGAAATTGGCTTCCAACCATGAAAGATGAAAACGTAGATGACGTCAAGACGGAATTTTGGCCACCGGAACGGATTCAAAATAAGCCACGATCTTTAAGTTATGAATTTTTGAGTGCGTAAAAACTGCACTTTCAACACACTTTTTCACCATGTTTCTTCGGAAAAACTCACACATTCGGAGACCTTCTTTAAAGAATTGACTTTTGAGTCGAACCTGAATTTGAGAATACACTATCAGAGATATCTTGGCGAAAGAACACCTAAATATGACGTGTCGAGTTGGACTTCTGAATCTTTGAACCCTGAATCGTTGCAAAACAGCGAACCGATCTTCAGCACGGAAAATACTCTGAGAACATCCATTGGCGAAATAAACGTCACTTGTAACCTGAAGAAGCTTGCTAAATATACCTTGATTCCATAACCATAAAACCAATGATATGTGTGTATGTAATAATGAAATGTAAGCCAAAAGGTCAAAATAAAGAGGGTAAATTTTGGGGTACAACAGTTGGTCTAGTGTGTAGCTGCTGCTATAATATTCTGACTCTGCTATAAGGTGTGTGACGTTATCAGGTTCTGAACTTACACTCTGGAAGAAAACATGTGGTTACATGTTTCGTTAAAGTCAAGGTTCTGAACATATCTTCTGCAACGTGTCTAAGGAACATTAGTATAAGAAGTTCTGATTGTGACTTTGTGGTTTAGTTTTGGAGGCCTTCTAAAGCTTTACTTCTGTGTTACAAGTTCTGAATATTATGAAGATGAGGTTCTGTTGAACAAGTTCTAATGATCTAAAGAAAAGAAAGTTCTTACAACCAAGTGCTGAAGACTCTGAAGAACAAGGTTTTGTGTGACAAGTTCTGAAGACTCCATGAATTAGGTTCTAAGGCTTAAGAAAGATTCTTCTGCAACAAGCTTCAACGTTCAAAATTCAAATATCAGAAGATAAGGAGAAAGTTCAAATGGTTAACATGTGATATTGTGCAAAAGGTACATAAAGTGTCCGTGACCTCTATCCTCTAGGGTGGCGTAAGGATAATCCTTTATAATGTATTGACAACCACTCTCATTGTGATCGTTGGAAACAAACATCTAGGTGTATAGCTATCCTTCTTTACTTAACGAATCTCTATTTTAAGCTTAATAAAAAAATATTATTCAGAGAAAAAGGTGGAAAGTTATCATTAAGCAGTGACAAAATACAAAAATATTATTTTGTATTGTCTAAACTCTTACACCTTGTTCTATCCGTTGGGAACTAAATGTTGGTGTAGGAAAAGTATGTTTTATCCTCACAACGTCTCTCTCTATCAGAGGCTATAAAATAATATCAAAGCTTCAAAGATAAATTACGGATTACCGTCATCCATAAGCCATTGGTCATCAAGCTTCACCCTGTGGAAGGAAAGCAGTGGATTCTGAAGATGTTAAAGTTGTAATGCTACACATTCTGAAGACCATTAAAGAAGAGAGAAAATAAAGAAATAAGATTTCATTCAACTATCATCATATTCATCTTGGATGAAATAGAAGAAGCAAGGAACTGCTGCTTGTAGCTTGCTCAAAGAAGAAGAAAACTACAAGATGTTATTCAACTTTCAATCACATACATCTTGGGAGATCTCAGAAGAAGCAAGGAGTTGTTTCTTGTAGCTTTCTCAACGAAGATGAAGAAGAACACTACAAGATGATACTCAACTCCTAATCATATGCATATTTGTGGAACATTGTAATGAACACGATAGTTGTTGCTTGAATAGTGTTTCTATTCAGATCTCTTCATGTAAATTGTTTTAACACTTGAGTTGTTGCTCATAGAAGTGTTAAACAGTATGTGCTTAAATTTTTTGTGTAATCTGCTTAGAAGAAGCAACCATGTAAACACAAAAACCCCATCAACTATTGTTGATTTATTCCTTGAGAGACTAAGTGAAGGTATGATCTCAAGAAGATAATGGCTACTAGTCATTATGGGAAATCCTGATAGGAGATTCTGCGGGATCTGATTCTATTGGGTCAATGATTGTTATATCCGGTTGGATCATTGAACATATCATTGAAAGGTTTCTTGAGAGATTGAGTGAAGGTATAATCTTAAGAAGATAATGTTTGATGGTCATTATGGGAAATCCTGATAGGAGATTTTGCGAAATCAGATTATGTTGGGTCAATGGTAGTCATATCTCAAAGAGGACCGAGTGAAGGTCAGACTCTTGTGAGATCCCTGATGGGTATCATTGCAAGGAAATCCTGGTAGGAGATCTTTAGGGATTGGATTCTATTGGGTCAGTGAACTTATACCTGGTTGGATCCCTGAACATATCATTGTGTGTTAGTAATCGACAATTGCATGTATCATTGGATAAGGAAAATCATCCTTGCGATGATGGACAAAAGTAGCCTAATTAACAACAAACCTGGATAAAATACTTGTGTCCTTTTATCTTCATTGTCTTTATTTCTATTATCATTTGAGTTCTTAGAATTTTAATGGGGAATGTTTTCTATGAACATAATTCAAACCCCTCTTTCTTGTGTTTTCACTACCTTTAATTGGTATCAGAGCCCGACTCTGTTATTGATTTAAGATCAAACACTTAACCGTGTTGAGAGATCCAGTAAAGAGAAAATTCTATAGTTGTCTGTTACTTAAATCATGGAAAACATTTTTGATTCAAAACCCGTTCTGAAGAGGATTCAAAAATTCTAGGCTAGAATTAGAAATATGAAGACAGAATCCCTGAAACAAGTTCTCAGGATTCTGAAGGCTCAAGTATCTGATGGAAATGGAATAACTTTCTCAATCAACAGAAGTTCTCCATCAGAAGCAAAGATCAACAATCAACACCCCAGACCATCAACAGAAGTTGTCATTAAAAGACAACTACTGCAAGTTACAATGGATCTATTCAACGTCATTTTACGAAGATCCATCAACAATTATGAGATGACCAAGAGCTTCTCAAATATGCTCTCCAAAAGTCAAGAGAAAAAGATATTCAATCAGAAGCTACTATTGGTTGATCAAGCACATGCTGAAAGGAGTCTTTATTTTCAAGAAGAAGCTCTTGCTAAGGGTTGTACAGAAACAAGCTCATTGACAAAATCTCAGGTTAGTATTTACATGCTTTCAAAACAAAGTACTGATATATACTTCTACCAGCTAGAAGCTATCCTGCTCAGGAAATATTACTTGTTTAGATTATCGTAAAACAATATTTTGTTCATTATCTTTGATCTTTCTCAACTTGGCAATATCATTTTCTATGTACAAACTTTCCTTCTCAACCCATCCATAGCCTTAAATAATTGTGGCATTGATGTTATTTAAAAAAGGTCTTGAAAAGTCTATATAAGTCTCTAAGGAATATACATACAAATTCATAACTAAAAGAAGTCGTCTAAAAATTATTAACAAAAATTAAGTAACTATGCTAAATAACCTAACTCTAAGTAATACTTTCCCCCTTATAAAAATTATCCTTTACGTGTGTATATACCTTGCTTCTCGTGAGTTAGTTCGTGATAATGTACATACATCAACTAGATCATACTCCACCAATTCCTCGACTCCTTCATTTCATGACCAGACCTCTCATATATCCCTAGTTGAAAATGCTTATCCAATGATCACTAGAGCTAAAACTGACATCTCAAAACCTAAAGTGTTCTTAGCTCATTATGAACCAAGCTTTATCAAGCAGGCCTTATCACAACCTCATTAGTTTGATGTAATGAAAGTTGAATATGATTCCTTAATCAAGAGTGGGACATAGGTGCTAACTACTCTATCTTCTAATAGGCAAACAATTGGGTGCAAATGGGTTTTAAGGTAAAAGAAAATCCAGATGGTAGTGTCAACAAGTATAAATAAAGGCTAGTTGCTAAAGGCTTCCATCAACAACATGGCTTTAACTTCCATGATACTTTTTCACCAGTTCTAAAACCTATAACAATATGTGTCATCTTGACTTTGGCTCTCACTTTCAAGTGGGAGATTCAACAAGTGGATATCAATAATGAGTTTCTAAATGGTGACTTGCAGGAAGAAGTTTTCATAAACCAAGCACCGGGCTTCACTAACTCAAACACATAGCTAGTGTGCATGCTTCAAAAGGCTCTCTATGGCCTCAAGTAGGCCTCCAGACCTGGTATGAAAAATTACACCATGCATTAATTCAATTTGGGTTTTCCTCTAGTAGATTGGACCACTCATTATTTGTCTACAACCATTACAAGATTACATTATATGCCCTTGTGTATGTGGATGATATCCTCATCACTGGCTCATCATTCAATCTAATACATACACTCTTCACCAAAATCCATAGCAAGTTTGCTCTTAAGTAATTTTGTGCCATACAATATCATCTCAGATCATTTACTCTATCGATCCACATTTGGTGCCATACAATATGTGACTCTTACCTGACTTGATATAGCTTTTTATGTCAACAAAGTATGCTAGTTCATGACAAAACCACTAGAATATCATTACTCCATAGTAAAACGCATTCTATGTTACTTGAGTGGTACGAAAAGACATGAGCTTCTTGCACCAGCTCAACACCTTCCTAAATTCTCTATATGCGCATATAATGATTTTGATTGGACCAGTGACCCTGATGATCGACGCTCTATTTCAGGAACTTGTGTTTTCTTTGGTCCAAATCTCGTGGCATGAAGTTCCAAGAAATAAGTATTAGTTATACGATCGCATACTGAAGTTGAATACTGTGCCTTATCTCACACCACCACTGAACTATTGTGACTTCAATCTCTTCTCTCTAAGCTCAAGATTGATCACCTTGTGCCTACATTGCTTTGTGATAACATTAGAGTTGTCCTACTTGCTCACAACCCGATCTTTCATGCACACACCAAACACATTGAACTAGACATTCATTTTGTCTGTGAGAAAGTTGTGGCAAACCAACAACAAATTCAACACATACATGCACATGCTCAGATAGTTGATGTCTCGATAAAGCCTCTATCAACTGTTATGTTTACAAACTTTAGGGACAAACTCAAGGTGTTATTTTTCAAACCACCATGAACTTGTATGAGCCTATTAGAAGAAGATTGTGAATGTGTGTATGATGAGCATGCATGGTATAATTATGAATGTGCATGAGTATATAGGTAGGTTGTTAAAGAGGATAACTAACTCAAAGTTAGTTAAACCATCTCTTATGGATCCTAACTATAAATAAATAGTGAAATCTTACTTTGTAATTTAATGAGTGAAAACACCAAATGAGTTAAGTTTGCTTGAGTCTTAATACAAATATTCATTGAAGAATTCACTCCTTGCTTGTTACAATAAATAGATACCTAAACATTAAAAGTAAAGGTGTACATAAACAAAAGCCATGACAAGCAAATAATAAAGAGGTTAACATTAATCATTAATTCAAAGTTGTATTATATGACTATATTGAAGCATTAATATCATTGTAAAACGTACTTCGTTACAAAAAGAGTAATGATTACAAAAATAAAGGAAAAAATAAACTTATGCTAGTTTTTCATTAACCTCAAACTTCAAAGATAAGTGAAAATTAACTGGATTTTTTTTCTTTTTTATTTTCTTAACACGAGAATTAAATCTACAAAAGAAACATCTTAATTAAATATGGACTTCTCATTTATTTTAGAGTGTTATGTCAAACACTCCACCCTTACACCTTAGTGTTCAAGAGCTCTGGACTCTCATAATTTTGTTCATTTCCTAAATTCATATAGTATGACACATTTAGGTACAATAATCGAGTTCATTGATCTACAAATAACCTATGAGAAATTTCTCACTTAAAAAATAGTATTTAATAGTCGTTGAACAACAAGCAAAGTAGAGAGTTTTCGAGTATGATGACTTATTCACGCTGATAAATCATTAAGACTATTAACTCTATATTTATCAGAACATTGAAATGAAAAGACTAACTATTCAATCATCATAATCTAAACACTCATATCTAAAATATCTAGCAAGAATAATATGTACATCTAATTCTATATTAATTATGTACTCGATCAATTTATTTTTTCTTAAATAATACTATTATGATTATTGTTATAAGTAAAAAAGAAATTTAATTTATTAAATAATTGATGTATTTAATTTATATATAAATCAGATATATTAATTATTTAATAAATCTATAAAAAAAATTACTATAGTAAAAATTGTTTATTCACCATTTTAAAATGATGGTTGTGGAAATAAAATTTCTATCATATTCACGAGGACCATAGAATATGGGGCACTAGAGAATGGATGGGTTTGAAAAGTAAAGTTTAGCACATACATCACATCATAGACAAATTCGAAGACAAAATTGAAGAACAAAAATCCAAGATGGGAAGGTTTAATTTGTTTTTCCCTCCCTTTATCTTGACGCATCAATGCAATTATTTGTGGCTAGCTATGTGATGCGAATATTATGTTTGATTGGTAAATTTGTGAATGATATAGTCACTGGCTATAGTGGTCGGTGGATACTTGATACTTAGTGGCTATTGGCTCCCACCATATACCAATAACAACTGACATATGAAAATGACACGTTGCATAAAAGTCTTGGTTCCAAACCTTGGCGTGTGGACGACATGTGCTTGTGCTGTAGACTTTTTCCATCTACTGATTTTGACATTGATTCTTCTGTCTTTTCAAATCACACCCCACAAGTTTTGTATTCATCTTTTAAAATTCAACCAGATCAGTTCAATATTTATAATTTAGATATTTGAGCGGCTTAATTATAGTTTAATATTAGGTTTAAGAAAATAGTTTAAAGCAGATAATAAATTGAAGATCTTGTTAGTAGTTTTTAAAATATTTCTCGTTAGAGTAGTTTAGTTAAGGTAGTTTAATTGATAGTTATATAGAGACATTTAATTTTTGGGATGTAGATTTCAACCAATGACATCTCATTTATTTATCTTTAATATGTGAAAGTTTAGTCACTAAACTACTTGGCAATTTTTTTGGGGATGATCATAGATAGGGATCCATTTTCTAGAGAGTCAATATTCGTGATTTTCTAGGTCACGACTCAATGGGACCATACTCTAGAGAGTATAAGTTATTGGGAGAATGAAGTCTGGTCTTAAGGTCTTTGTTAGAGGAGAGAACTTTTGATTTTGAGTTTGAGTTTATTACTAATCTTGTCTTGGTTATCAAAAGTACAAATTTCTCTACACTCAGGGATTCTTGACAGAGGTCCCACGATGAGGATGGCATGTTCTCTATCAAAACATCTTATCAAATTCTTTTAACTCTTATTCTTCAGCCAAATAATTCTTCAACTTGAGTAAGGTAGATCTTGGCGTTAATTTTGAATAGTTGATCTCATTCTAAGGTTATTGTTTTCATTGTCAGTTACTTCAAGATATGATTCCACTAAGACAAAATTATTCAGATGTTATGTGATTATGGATCAGGGTGAGATCTCTTGCGTGCTCTACCAAAGTTTCATGGAGTCTAATATTCATTTTTTTATCACTTGCAAAGTGAAGCCGTATAAACTTGTTTAAATGACTAAGGTGGATTTTATGGAGTATTACTTAGGAAATTTGATTTCGTGTTGGAAATTTATAAAGCTCTTGAAATTAGATCTATATAGAGTTAAAACAGTTTAAAATTGGTTTGACACCTTACCATGTGAAATATGAATATTATAAAATAAATTTTCTAAAAAGAAAACCTTTCTTACACTTTTATTTTATATATATATATATATATATATATATATATATATATATATATATATATATATATATATATATATATATATATATATATATATATATATATATATATATATATATATATATATATATATATATATATATATATATATATATATATATATATATATATATATATATATATATAAAGTTTGTGCGTGTAGGTTTTTCTCATCAGCTTCTGCTTTATTAAGTACCCTCCTTAACTCAACCTTTTTTGTAACTTCAATGTTTCCTTTATCTCAGTCAATATGGGTGATAGTCCCATTAGTTTTCCTAGCGATTCTGAGAGGGACGAGTCTCTCGTAGTTAGAACAGGAATATCTTCTAGTTTAAACTTTTCCCTCTTAATCATTGATCAGCTAACCCGTGATGTCATATCAATAATCGGTGATTTTGATTTGGAGAAGCTCTCTAAGGGCTCTCCATATGAGGAAGCTTCCTCTAGGGATTCTTCTTTCTACATTCTCTTCTCTGATGACGACTTTAAAGGTGATTATGCAGTCGTTTCCATGCCCCTTTCTTCTCAAGCTGTAGGGAATTCGACTTCGCCTACTTTACCGATTCCAAAAATGTAGGTTACCATTCTGAAAAAGAAGGATGCTAAAGACTATGTACATGCTTATCGAAAATCCTACCATCGAGACCACAACCATGCTGAGATGAGGACCATGAGTGTACGACATGACTGGATGAAGTTTGTTGGCTTAAACCCTTCAAAACATTTAAGGGCAATGAACTATCCCTAAAATAGGTTAGGTTAGTGGAGTCAACCGATGGGAGCAAATACAACTGGGTGAATGCCGAGTAGTATGGACCCCCTCAATTTTAAGTACTCAGGCGGCCATAAGTGTAACAAACACTATGGTTAAACGTCATTTTGATTAGTCGATCCTTCCGCTAGATCCAGAAAAAAGTATATGCAACACCTTTAAAGGGTGTTCAATCCCCTTTTATGAGTGTTTATTTACTAGGGATAATTTGCGGTCTCCTATTTCTAAATTTTAGGTGGAGGTGTTGAAGTACCTGAATGTTACCCTCTCTCAACTTTAGTCGGGTTTCTGGGCTTATATGAAGATGTTCCAATTTTGGACCAAGTATAAGTCTTGGAAACCTTCTTCTCAACTCTTTGTCAATTTGTTCCAAGTTATACATACTTCTCATAATGATATCTAGGATCAGGGGCTTATTGAGCTTCGTCAATATATTCTGTTGTTTGGCCCGTTCATTATGGACTTAGGCGATTTTCTAGGGAGCTTCGTGCTGGTGAGACCCCATACTCATGAGGATCAGTTTTACTTATGCTCTAGCCTTCCCTAACATTCGTGTTCTTGTAAGGGTAGGTTTCTGAAATACTAGGCTTGGCCACATTCCCATCCTGAACCTTATATGTGTAACATCCAAATAGATTCCCTTACTTCTAAATAATTTATGGTGATGAGGGATCTAGAGTCTCTATACAAAATACTCAACTATGAAGAAGGGTTTGGCTTTGGAAAAGTGTCATCTTCCTACCAGATTAAAAATCTATTGATACACGTGTCATTGTGAGTGTGGTCGGTTGTATAGAGATTAAATAGATCTTCAGTGAGGACATATTTTTATTTTTTAACATGCATGTTTGTACTTGCAGATAAAATGAACTCTTTGTATAAAGTTTATATCATTGCTTCTTCTCAAGGTGTCAACCCTGTTCCCCTGACTCAAGATACTACTCCTCCTATAACTCCCATCGACAAATCTTCTCAAACAGTCTGCCATCCTTCCCGCTCAGATTCCCCACACTCTTGAGGAAACTGCTACTTCTATGTATGGGAAGATCTGACTTACCTCTAAAATTTCCCTGAAGCGAACAAGATGAAGCTTTTTTATGAGGCTACATTCTACAATTTCCAGTCAGCTTCTCTATTTACATTAGCTACTACAGGT